GTGCTGATAGTAAAGTTCCTGTATGTCTCGTATTTGCGCTAATGTATATGTGAGTGCATGCGCGTGTGCGTACGGGCATATTGCCCAAGGTTGAACGCCCTCTCGTGGTTCATCCTGTAAACAGCCCAACCAAAAGAAGCCTCCGCAGAGAGAGCAGAGCAAAACCCAAAGAAACCCCCCCAAGCTTCACACTTTCTGTCATGATTTTAAACAGAGAACAATGACTGGAATCAGAAGAAATGTGTTCGTTTTAATGATATCGGTGATGTCAGAGAGTGTGAGCGCACTCGGGACTGGGAGGGGTACGCGCACGCCTTGACAGGAGGCAAGAAACCAATAATTGAAAGGAAGGAATCTACAAATAAAAACTGAGAAATTAAATAAACTCAATAATATCATACATTGACCTTTTCAGGATCAGATTCATTGCCTTAAGGTACATCAAGCCTGTAAGTCTTTAGAGGATACACCTTAAAACCAGGAAGAATGAGGTAAAGATTGCCATTGTTGCTGTGGTTCATTAGTGTGTCCCTGTGATTACCAGAGTCCTAAATGACATGACAGGTAGAGTCCTTAATGACACTTTTGTATTGGTAAGAATAGCATGATTATGTATCTCCTGTATAGCTCTAAATGTGTCTAATCTTAAAGGGTTATGCGTGCACACCGTGGAGCTGAAATGATTAAATGTCTACAAACAGGAAGAAGGGAAATAACACTTTTTAATTTGGCTCATGCTTTAGGCTATTTGTGTGGTTAATATTACAGGGGCGAGGCTTAGATATGCCCTCTCAAATCAGGTGGGACGAACATGTAATGAATCCCTCTCTCTTTTAGTTTGGAGAGTAAACGCGCAGCTCACCAATTGCATTTCATTAAAAAAAAAAAAAAAACCCGACACCCGTTTGGATCCTCAATCAATTAGGTAATGAATGGGAATGCATGTTTCATATGTTTTCTCTCTCAATTCTCCCCAAGCTAAAGATTTGTTATAACATTGTGCTGAAGGAGGGGAAATTATGCAGGGCCAATTGTTTTCACAACATTTGACAGCTTTCACTCCTGCAGGCCTACAAAGATGGTTAAAGCTCGTTTTGAGGGAAATATTAACCTTACACGTGTTGCCCTGAAAGGCTGTGCTTCCTATAAAATCTGTAAAATCTGCCTTTTTTTTCGGTTGTGTATTCTTTCTTATTTTTTTTTAACCTGGTTTACCCTGGAAGGTGGACAATTTGTGTTCCTGAGCATTCCCTCATTTATAAAAGCCTTGCTGCAACTAAGCCTCATTTTTTAGTAATACTCAATTAATTAGCCATTTAATATTGACATGAATAAATTGAGCGCAAAAGGGTATAAAGGCATTAAGTTTTTTACTTCGTTAATTGAAATTAAACATATGATCATCTACTCCCCGAGCCCTGCGTCGCTTCACCGGGCCTCCCCATTGGTGGACGCACAATACATTCGGGGCGTCATTGGCCCACGGGATTCTCACCGGCCAATCAGCGCGCTCCCCCGCCCGATTCTATCTGGGGTTGGCGGTGACGCGGAGGCAGAGCCGGCGTTGTGATTGGTCGGATCCGATGTGAGTGACGTGCAGCTGGCCGGCGCGTGTAGGTTAGGGTTCCAGGGGGCTGGGAGCGCGGGCGCTGTCCGCACGAGAACAGGTCCTGAAACGCCGCGTGCGCCACCGTGGACGCTGGGCGCGGGCAGCTTTTACCTCCGTGTGGTTGAAGAAACCTGTTTATGTACATATTTACACCCGAACCGAAGACATAAAAAACGACCTTTTTTGAATTTTGGACAGGACTGTTTCCTCTTTTTTTTTGTTTTTCCAGCGCGAAGAAATGAGCGTCCAAACTCACACACATCAACCGGGAGTCCAGTAGCTATTAGGTCTGTGCAGTGCGTCCTGGTCAACACACACACACACACAGAGAGAGAGAGAGGGAGAGAGAGGTGGTAAGAGTGACCAAGAGCTGCCTCTCGTTCACACCAACAGGATAACAACTCTTTAACATCAGCATCAGCAGCTTTGACTCGAACCAGAGAGCGTTGGTTTTTATTTTTCCTGCTGCTTAATTTCCTGTATTTTCTCCGTCTTTTCTGTTTTTTGTTGTTGTTGTTGTTGTTTTTTGTTTGTTTTGGCACGGTGGATATGAGACTTCAAGATGTGAGCACTCATGCGCTCTCACTCGCTTTATTGATGGGAGATTACCAAGTGTTAACGTGAAAGCAACCGCCGAGGACGATTTGTGACAGGAAGACGTGTGCAGCAAATAACCTGGAAGAAAGAATAACCGTGGATCTGTAAAGATTATTTTTTACATTTTTTTCCCCCAGCTATTTTTATTTTATTTTTGTATTTTGAAATATTTTCACAGACTGAAAGGAGAAAGTTCAGACCCCCCCCTCATCGGTGAAGTCGCAGTTCAGGGGTCACGGCCAGCGGACCGAGAAGCAAAGAAAAAAAGAGGGGGGGTGGAGAGGCTACTTTGTTTGCTCTCCATCATTTTTTTTTTGCCAAAGTTTTCAGCCGTTTTCTTTTTTCTTTGGACTCAGGCGACTCGGTGTAGACGAGCAGCTGAAGGAATGAGCACCACCGCTGTCGTTTCCCTCCTCTGGTTTTGGAGACGCCAGAACAGACCCGCTGTGGTGTCCCGTCCCCATGAGGAGGGAGCCCGTCTCTGATTCATATTTTTGACGCCATTTCTTTCTTCCCTTCCAACCTTAAAAAACCTCCCATTTACTATACTTTTCATACATTTTTTATAAGTTGGAGTCAAAGTACAACTTAACTAAACAAGTAATAAACCCCCCCTTTTAAATACAAGGGAACTGATACCCCCTGTTTTCTTTAATTGGAGGTCACAGTCTGTCAGTAAAGTGGCCGACTGAAGCGGGGTTGGTGGGGGGGGGGCGTCCAGTGGCATTTTTTAAGACCCCTTATATCGTATCGGGGCCCTGCAGCCCTATACCGTACCGATGGAGATTCACTGTAAGCACGACCCGTTTGCTGCAATGCACAGTAAGTTTACACGTTTATAATTTCCTCCATCTGCATGACCCCATCTGCTCTGAACTGAAAGGACCCCCCACCTCACCAAGTCTGTGTGCATATGTAATAATAACAGCGGAGTAGCACCGTGCACTGCAAAAAACATCCCTTCTTAGTGTGTTCCGAAGTCTGTTATTATTATTTATTTCAGTTCTTCGTAATGAAAGTCTCCAACAGTGTTGAAAAAAAATCTAAGAATTTGCACTTTGCGAATGGAAAGCAGATTTTTTGCAAATAACGTTTTGATGTTGAACTAATTTGCCTTTAAGATATTTACAAATCTCGAAACAGACTTGGTTTACAGTTTGACTGAATTATCTTTTTTCCATATGCACATATTTTTCCTTTTAAAAATAGCTAAACTGAGTGGGTTTCTCCACTTAATGACTTCTCCGGGGGCGGATATTTTTTGCAGTGTTTTAAATCTGGATACATGTAGAATTGTAGGCCCAAATTATATTATATTAGTATCATCCTTCGTTTGTGAATTTGCTATTTATCATTCCACTTTATTTTTGTGTCTTGTTTCTTGCAGTGTTATAGACCAATATATATATTAAACAGGTGTACATTGACTAAATTGGGCACTAGACTTGGAGCTGATGTGATTCTTTTAAAAATTGTGAAATGCATTATAATCAGGGAAATGCAGGCCAAGCCAACATTTTGTTGTATTAGCTGGTGCCTTGTGTGAGGCGGTTTGCTGTGTTTCCCTATTTGAAGGGAAGAGGAGGTGCAGGGGTCAGAGAGAGAGAGAGAG